GAAGAAGTGATTTTTGAATAGTGATATGATGGGAAATGTGTGGTTGAAAAAGAAGAAAAAATTATTGATGTGATGGAAAATATTATTTTATTGAAGAATGTGTGGTTGAAAATGAGAATTGATTTGAGAATCAATTCTCAAATCAAAAACAAACACCCCCTTGATCTTTCCTGTAGTAAGGAAATAATTGGCCGTTTGCGACTGAGACTATCGATTTTTGTTAGAATTTGACTGTAACTGGAATTCTTTGTTGAAATAATTGAAAAATTCTAATTGAAATGAACGTCGAGAAGAATTTAGTTTAGAATGCTATTGGAGTCCTATGTCAAGTTGAAATTCTATTTTGGAAGCCCGTTAAGAGTTGGAAATCGGTAGTGGATTTGATTTTTTGGCATCATATTTCATCAACAATTTTACTAGGATGATTTGGACATCCCCTACATGTTCCTAATAAATATTAGGCTCTTCCATATAATTTTATAATGTGAGAATATTGTGAGAAAAGAGATTATTAGAACTTTATGATCAATTGTATATTTCTCAATTATTATTTGTGCAATAAAATTTCATAATTCATCTGCCATATTTTCTTGTCTTTTATTTTTTTGCTTGTGATCAAATATTTCATTATTGTGCCATATAATTTCAACATCTCAATCTGGTGGTTGGTTTCATATCAAATGGTATCGAGCGATACGTGATCCTTGAATTTCCAACAATTAGTATCAGATATTTTGGGCATAATTAGCACAACGAGTGGTGTTAGAGCGATTCTAGTATCCTGTTTATTTTGCAACAAGTGGTATCAGAACCTAAGTTCAGCAGGTCCGCAAGAGCGCAGTGTTTGATTTGTTTGAGTTTTTTGTTCGTGATGACTTCCATAAAATATGACATTCTGCTTTTAGACTGGAGCACTTGATTTTCGCTATGGATGATACGTTGCTGGGAATTGACAAGATGCCGCAACTTTGACCGTTGAAGGATAAGAAGTCAGTTTCTCACATTCATCTTCATCTATCGAATGCCATTCTTCAAGACGTTTTGAAAGATGGTTCGGCAGCTGCTTTATGGTTGAAGTCGGAACAAGTGCATGACTAAAAGTTTGACAAGAAAATTGCATCTCAAACAGCGTTTATACTCTCATCGAATAGTAGAAGAAGGATCGTTGGAAGATCACCGACTATATTTAAAGAAATCGTCGCTGATTTGAAAACTTTGGAAGTAAAGTATGACGAAGAAGATTTGGCCTCGATCCTATTCTATTCGTTGCTCACATCGCTCTCTTCATTCAGAGACGCGATCTTGTATAGTCGTGATACTCTCACCATAGAGGAGGTGTATGATACTTTGTTTTCAAAAGAGAAGATGAATCATCTGGTTTCAGAGGTCGAAGATGGAAAATACCTTGTTGCTCATGATGGTTCTGAAAGGGGCGGATCGAAGTCTAAATTCAGTAATCAGATTTGTAACTTTTACAAGAAGAATGGGCACTTGAAGAAGGATTTCTACAAATTGTAGAATAAAGAAAGGTTGGCTGCAAGTCGATATGGGGAGCAATCAGAGACTTCAGGTGAAGGAGATCTCGCAGAGAACATTGTAAGTAGGGGAGATCTCTTTGTTATTTCTGACATCGAGTCTAAACCAGAGAATGATTGGATTCTGGATTCAGCGTGTGTGTTTCATATGTGTCCTAATAAGGACTTGTTTACTACACATGAAACCGTTTTCCAAAGGTGTCGCTGGAATTGATACCGTTAGATTGAACCTATTGTATGGGACAATTAGAACCATAGTTATTAGATTCGACCTGAATAATTCATCGGTTCACTGGTTCAACCGGTGAGTCAAGGTTCAGCTAGAGGTGTCAAGACGAATGGGCTGGCCAGACCCGCGAAAATCGGCCCGACCGTGGGCCGACCCATGACCTGAGCGGGCTTCGCGGGTTGCACATTCACGGGCCGCGGTTTCGTAAAAAAAAAACTAAATTTGTTTGACAAAAAGGGGGGAGAGAACGGCTCTCTCCCCAAGCTAGCAGCAGGCTACGCCTGCATGCTACATTTTAAAAAAAAAAAAATCATGCGGCTGGCACCTGCTAGCCTGCATGTTTCAGATGCAGGCTACGCATGCATTGCGTAGCCTGCACGTTAATTTTTTTTAATGGTACTAATTTCTAACGGTAATAATATCTATTTCATCTATAAATTT